TCTCCAATAATTTCTCAAACAATGCGACTTGCTCGAGTTCTTCCGATGTGGACTTGGTTGCGTTTGTTTCTTTCGGTACCCAGAAATATCTTGGTACATGATCGGAGTCCAACGAATCCTCCCCCCTGTTGATTTCGTTTGGCTAGGGAGCAAGCGTCAGTTCCTGTAATTGCTATGCCGCATGCTCCTTCCCTTTTCTACTGAAAACTGAGATCGTGTTCATCTCCCTTGCCGCCGATAGATCTCTTCTTATTTGTTTAATTCCCTTCAGAGTTGGGAATTTCAAAAGTTGATGGTATGTCGATGACACGACCTTCATCTCGTATAGCCATGGTCTTCTAAGAATAATATTGTAGCCCATATCCCCGTCTACTACTTCAAAAAGGGTCATCTTCATTACCCCTTCAGCATTCGTGGGTAGCAGAACCTCTCATCGGGTTGTCACGCTCGCTAAATTGAACCCGAAGAGGAGTTTTGTGGCCGGAATAATACTTTCGGTCAGCTTGGCTTATTCCAGCACTCTCCATTGAATAATATTGGCTGAACTCTCTAGGTCCACCAAAACACGTTTAATTTTAAAATCTAAAATATTAAGAGAAATTACCGGGGCATCATTATGCGGTAGTAAGAGTCCATTTGCGTCCTCCGCAGTGAAGGTGATATCGTCTTCGGCGACTTCCCGGAGTCTCTTACTATAGGTCACCGATACCTTTATCTTTTTCGCTGCCGAAAAGGTTATACCATTAATCTCATTTCCCCCGAAAATCATGTCGATCTTTAGACGAGGAGGATCTTCTCCTGCTTTTGAGGGTTCCGCATTATCCCAGTTGCAGCCGTAGTTGTTCTTAGCTCGGTCGCTTAAGAATTCTCTGAGATGGCCATTTTTTAGCAATGTTGCCACCTCCTCGCGTAGATATCGGCAGTCCCCAGTTCGGTGGCCGTTGGTCCCATGGCATGCGCACCATAGATTAGGATCCCTCTAACTGGGGTCAGATCTCATTAGCCTAGGGACATGTGCTTCCTTAATGTTCTTCGTCGCTGATACTAGTTCCACTACGTTGACATTGAAGTTATATTCGGACAATTTGGGGTAGGTGGAATCCCAGGAGCTTGATACCTCTTTGTCCTGCAATGATCTGTTATTTCGGCCGCGATCAACTCTCTTATCAATAGTGAATCTATCCTCAGCTGCCTATTCGTCCGACACGGCCGATAGCAGCATCCTCTTCTTCTGAAATCCGATCATGAACTCCCGCAACAATTCAGACTCTCCTTATGCAATTCTGAATATGTCGGCCTTTCGGGCCTGTACCTTTCTGGCCCCGACATGGGCCTTGTAAAAGAATCCGGGAGCATCTCGAAAGAATCTATTGAGTGCTCGGGTAAAAGTGAATACCATGTTAGGGCCCCTTTTCGTGAGGGTCTCCCCGAACTTCTTCAACAAGGCTGATTCAATTTCCTGCAGAGCTAAGTCGTTTCCTTTCACCGTCGTTGTATAGGTGGTGATGTACTCATGAAGATCCGAAGTCCCATCATATTTTGGCACGTTCGGCATTTTGAATCGCTTCGGGATCAACTCTGATGCCACGCTTTGTTTGAACGGCAACTAGGTGTATTTCTTTGAGTCCAGTCTTTTAAACACTGGCGGTGCGCCCGGATTTTGATCCATTCAGGCGTTTATTTCCCTCACAAACCGCACGAGTTCGGTTTTAAAGGGATTATTCTCGTTATTGTTACCGTATCCGCCGTCGTTCCCCCCGGGCTTGTCGAAGTCGACCTCACCCCTTGGGGTATTGTTATCAACGCTTTGTGCTGTTTGATTTGCGGGAGCACTGGGAGGAACTGGACCTCTACCATTTGCGTTATTGGAAGCACCCGACAATGCTTGCTTCAACTTTATCATGACCTGATCTTGTCGCGAGAGATGGCCCATAATAGCCCTTTGTTACTCCCTTAAGATTCTCATCATTTCCACAATGTGCTCGTCTTCAACATCATCAGGAATTGCCTCTCGAACGTGTTGTGGATGTTGTCTGCCATGGACCGGCGTGGCTACGCCCTCTTCGTTGCAGGTATCGCTAATCGGATCTTCGTGTTGAGGCTGATTTCCTTGGGACTCAACGTTGGCGTGATGTTGACATCGTTATCTGCCATTTTTTTATGATTTTTCGCTAAGAACAAAGAATTAAACTGGCTAGTAATATATGCAAGGATCAACCCAATTACGCAATTGTCTAATCCCCACAGTGGATTCCAAACTGTTTACCCGTAAAACGGTATAGTTAAATTTGTACGTGGTTTATAGACAAGCGAATCGATTTGATCCCAAAATGATAAATAAATTAAATAGAAATACAAGACTTAACGTTGAAATTGAGATAAGACAACAGATAGCTTGGTATGCAATAATAGTAATACCAATAAAAAAGAAATAAAGTGTTATTGAGCTTAGAATAATGTATAGCATAAGTTTGTCAGAAAATTCGTGCCTTGTCCAATAGCTGTTGAAGTCACTATTTATAGTTACACCTAGGGAACAAGGTCCTAGAATCAAGCTCATCTTAAATGACAATTATGGGGGCCATCGAAGAATGTGTAACGATAGGCTATGAATGCCATAATTCTATATAACAGATTGTGTATTTAATATTGCAGAATATTCTTCACTAAATGCTATCGGTGGCAGACATTCGTTTGATTTCATTAGCAGCATTCCCTTCGGGGGCTCTCCGGTGCCAACTGAAGCTGCTGCTCCCGGTCTTGGTTTTCACATGTCTCACTTTTCGACAGTCTCCTGTTCCACGTGTCACTCTATTATACGAATATTTAATATGAACCGATTTTACTCCATACAAAATAAAGAAGTATTAAAATGCCTTTTTTTATGAACATATAAATGTACTGAATATTCATACATTCAAGCCATGAGGAAATAGACTTATCCATTAGAAAACATTTAGTGAGGAAAAGACGTAGTTTAAAATATGACACATAGAAAAAATTAATTTGTAATGGAACAACATTTATGTTACAATAATCACATTGTAGTTGCTACATATCATACCTACTGCTTGCAAAATGCTTGGTCCTTAGTCCTTCCTCCTCATTTTTCCGAAGTTCTAGTAGTTGTTGAGATTTTATAGCTAAATTTAGTCAAATAATGACTTTGACAAATAATTCAACATTATGGTATTGACAAGTGATGGACTACAACAAGGACAAGTAAATGAGGGGCATCAGTTATGCCCATTAATTATGTATATGACAATTTTTGTTGAGAAGCATGAAAGTGTGGTTCATGAAAATTATTTCTCAATTTTATCGCAAGTAAAGGCTCATGCAAACCATCAATGGAATTTGTCGTTCATGAAAATTATTTTTCAATTTTGTCCAAAGTAAAGCCTCATTCAAACTATTACCGCAATTCAAAAAATTAAAATACTTATTGTTTTACTTCATAAATATTTTATTCAATAGATAATCATTCAATTTGGCAAATATAGATGAAACATTAAATGCTCATTACCAAACAGAATTTCTAGCTGGTTAAATAGAATATAGGGTGTGTTTGGTACGCAAGAAAATATTTTCCGAAAAATATTTTCCAATTTTTTCATGTCTGGTTGGCTTAAATGTTTTCCCTATCAAGAGAAGGGAAAATATTTTCCAAAACTCCTTCTCAACCTTTCCCACCCTATTCCCCATCCCCACCACCTCCCCCCACCCTAACCC